TCCAAAGCAGTTGTGTGCCAATGGAATCAAGGGGGCCAGGTGAGAGAAATTATTCATATCTGGTATGAACCATTGGTTCTCTACCTCTTTTGGTGTGTGAATCATTTCAGCAGGACAAAAGAGTTTATGGAGCATCCTAACTAACACTTTTGCTTGCCACTATAAAAACAAAATCTCCTGGCGGGGCACCGTGGCTCATGCCTGTAATCCTAGCACTCTGGGAGGCCGAGGAGGGCGGATTGCTTGAGGTCAGGAGTTCAAAACCAGCCTGAGCAAGAGCAAGACCCCGTCTCTACTATAAATAGAAAAAAATTAATTGGCCAACTACTATATATAGAAAAAATTAGCCAGGCATGGTGGCACAGTGTCAGCTACTCGGGAGGCTAAGGCAGAAAGATCGCTTAAACCCAGGAGTTTGAGGTTGATGTGAGCTAGGCTGATACCACAGCACTCTAGCCTGGGCAAGAGAGCGGGACTCTGTCCCCCTCCCTCACCAAAAATAAAAGAACTCCTAGTTCAAATTTGAATCAGTAGGGCTAGGAGACCAGTGTGCACAAACAAGCATATAGCTTCTAAGTGTACTAAGCCAACAGCATAGTGTGCACATATCAATAAAAAGAATGTGAAGATTCTCAAAGGAATGCATATTATCTATTGCAAACATCAATAATCTAATGTGAATCTACTTGCCCCAAACATAAACAACTAGAAAATGTTTATGGGTAATCTAATTTGGGGAGGGAGGTATAATCTATATAATAGGACAAATAATGATTGAGTAAGTTGATATTAGGAATTCATATAGTGCTTATAGATCTTAAAGTTACTACTCTATACAGTGATGCTTGGTGATTGCATGATGACCTTGGTGTATTTCACTGTTAGCCATACAGTTCAGCAAGAATTAGTACTGGACACAAAAACAAGACAAAGACTTATTTTTAGCAATAGGAATGCCCTTTTATACCAAAATCTCATGTGTGATCAGATGCAAATATGGTGCTCCAAATGAGAGAGGGGGAAGGGAGCAAGAGACTACTGCTAAGCCTGTCTTCTCCCAGCCATAGATTAGCACCTGCAGCAGCCCTCCGGAACCCTGGATTTCCATAGAACATATTTTCAAAACTGCTGATACAGGCTGTTACATATTTTTTTCTACTGGTAACCTTGCATCTGCTTCTTTTTTTTGAGACAGAGTCTCACTCTGTTGCCCAGTTTAGACTGAGTGCTGAGGCATCACCCTAGCTCACAGCAACCTCAAACTCCTGGGGCTCAAGCGATCCTCCTGCCTCAGCCTCCCGAGTAGCTGGGACTATAGGCATGCACCACCATGCCCGGCTAATTTTTATAATATATATATATTATATATATATATTTTTTTTTTTTAGTTGGTCAATTAGTTTCTTTATATTTTTTAGTAGAGGTGAGGTTCCGCTCAGGCTGGTTTCGAACTCTTGACCTTGAGTGATCTACCCGCCTCGGCCTCCCAGAGTGCTAGGATTACAGGCATGAGCCACCGCGCCGGGCCGCATCTGCTTCTTTTAATCTATTTTGAGGATTACTGCCAGAATGATCTTCCTGAAATATCAAGTTACTCCCCTACTCAAAAACCATTTTAAGTTATTTCTTAGTTGGGCATTTAAGATACTCTACAATGTAGCTTCAATATATCTTTCCAGGCCGGGCGCGGTGGCTCACGCCTGTAATCCTAGCTCTCTGGGAGGCCGAGGTGCCCGGATCGTTTGAGCTCAGGAGTTTGAAACCAACCTGAGCAAGAGCGAGACCCCGTCTCTACTATAAATAGAAAGAAATTAATTGGTCAACTAATATATATAGAAAAAATTAGCTGGCCATGGTGGCGCATGCCTGTAGTCCCAGCTACTCGGGAGGCTGAGGCAGAAGGATTGCTTGAGCCCAGGAGTTTGAGGTTGCTGTGAGCTAGGCTGACGCCACGGCACTCACTCAAGCCTGGCAACAAAGTGAGACTCTGTCTCAAAAAAAAAAAAAAAATATATATATATTCCATCGGTATCCTCTGTCCTCTAATGTTGTTACTGTGGACTGCTTTAGTGTTCCCTGAACACACATCACTTTTCCTCATTTTTTCTAATGCTGTTCTTCCAACTCAGTCGTAGCTTAAATAAGATAATGTGATACCACCCTGCATAATACTAGACACAGAGTTAGGATCCAGCAAACATTCAGCTTAGTTCACAAATCACTTACAAGGGTTCTTTAGATTCTTGCTAATTTAAGTTTGGACTGGGGACCAGCAGTATCAGCACCGTATGGGAATTGTTACAAATGCAGACTCTCCGGCTAGACTTGGTGAACAGAATCTGCATTTTACCAAGACCCCCAGAGAATTCTTGTGCCCATTAAATTCTGACGAGCATTGCCCACACTTTGAACAGTATCAGCGAAACCTGTCACCACTCTGATAGCACATGTTGCATCAGTGGTGGATCATCTTCATACATGTATTTACCATGTTTTTTGTTGTTTAAGTGCTGATTTTAAAAGATAGTTGAACAGTGAACGTTTTACAGCATTTAATTTTGACGAATCTTGTCATGCAATATTTGTTTCAGAATATAATTCAAAAGTCAGAAATTTTTATTCATTCTTCCTTCAAAAATTATTTATAGAATACCTGTTATGTGCCATGTTTGCAAAATATTGACAATACAGTGGTGAACAAGACAGACAAAGCTTTGGCCCTCATGGAATTTAGTCGAGTAAGGAAGACAGACCAAAAAACAACTAATAACAACTGAAATAATTAAAATTATGCTAAGTTATTATGAAGGAAATAAAAAGAGTGCTAATATGGAGAATAATGGTAGGGGCAAGGTCGGGGATCTCTTCTCTAAAGAAGAGGTCTGGCTAGAGATAGGAATTTGGCCATTTTCAGAACATAGGTGATATTTAAAGCCAACAGAATGAATGAGATCACCGAAACAGAGAATGTATTAAGAGAAGAAAGCTCAGGACAGAGCCCTGAAAAATACCTCATTTGATCAGGTAAAGGAGGAGAAGCCAGCAAAAGAGAAAGACAGCCAGACAGAAGGAAAACCAGCAGAGTGTGGTGTAATGGAATTCAAGAAAGGAGGATATTTCATTGAAGGAGTGAGCGGTCAGCCATGTTGAATGTGGCTGAGAAATCAAGCAAGATAAAGAAAAAAAGTATGAACTGGTTTTGGCGACATAAAACTTAACCAGTGCCCTTGACAAAAGTGGTTTCTGTGGAGTGGTGGGAATGGAAACCAAAGTGGTTAAAATGGGAATGGGAAGGTTGGAAGTAAAAACATTGATAACAGACTATTTCTTTCCTTCAGAAGTGTAGCTATGAGGTGAAGAAGAGAAATCAGTGGGGCTGTTGCTGGAGAAAAATGTGGATTGAGAGATTTTTGTTTGTTTGTTTTTGTTTTCCAAAGATGAATGATACTGACACTATCTGTAGCTAAAGTTTATTGGGAAATAAAAAGAAGATGAAAATTGAAACCTATTTTGAAATCCCAGTTCTCAAGGAAGTTTGAAGAATTAGCTATCACTGAAAATATCTTCATATTCAGTTGGCACGTGGCATGTAAATCAATTTTCTCACCATGAGAATTTTTAAGCCATATGGAGCCCATTCAGTCAATGGTTGGTGTGTGTGTGTGTGTGTATATAAATATATTTAGATAGGGTCTCACTCTGTCACCCAGGCTGGAATGCAGTGACCCAAACATATCTCACTATGACCTTGAACCTTGAACTCCTGGGCTCAAGCAATCCTTCCACCTTGGTTCCTTGGTCTCCCAAAGTGCTGGGATTACAAGCGTGAGCCACTGTGTCTGGCTGGTAAAATGTAATTTATAAAGATTCTATAGCAGAATCATGAGAAACTCTTGAAATTCAAAGTTTTTTCAAAAGTGGGAAGATGCTGCTATAATTGCATCACTGAATTTTAGGATTTTAGATATTTGAGGATGTTTGAGTGTTCAATGGATTTTTTAAAATTAAGGAATAACATGCACAATAAAGAGCACATCTTTGTATATAGTTTTATTAGTAGTAGTATTTTTTACCTATAATACAACCTTCCAGATCAAGGAAGGGTCATTGGATCAAGATATATTTGCATCACCTCAGAAAGTTTCCTTGGGTTAATATCTCCCTTGGCCCCAAGTTGAAAACTATTCAGACTTCTGTCATCATGGATTACTTTTCCCTTTCTTGAATTCCATATAAATTAATTATACAGTATTATGCTTTTATTGTATCTGGCTTCTTTTCCTTTACTGATTTTTGAGATCATCCATGTTATTATTAATAGTTCGTTCCCTTTTATTATTGAATAGTATGAATATACCACAATTTATTCATTATGCTGTTGATGGACATGATTGTTTCTAATGTTTGGCTATATTATGAATATTCTTAATAGTCTCTGCTGGACATATACATATTTGTATCTCTTGAATAGATATGTAGGACTAGCATTTCTGGGTCATCATATAGGTGTCTGTTTAGCTTTGACACATACTGTGAAAGTTTCCAAAGTGGTTGGGCCAGTTTACCCTCCCACTAGTGATATCTGAGAGTTCCACTTGCTCTACATCTTGTCAACATTTGCTATTGTCAATCTTTTTAATTTTAACCATTCTTGTGGGCGTGTAGTGGTATTTTATTGTGGTTTTAATTTGCAATTTTCTGATGAGTAATAATGTTGAATACTTTTTGTTATGTTTTTTGGCCATTTGGATATCCGCCTCCCTGCAGTGCCTAAAGTCTTCTGGTCATTTGGATTTTTTGTTTTAAAATTGGATTATGTTTTCTCTTATTGAATTTTTAGGCATCTTTTATATTTTGGAAATGTGTACTTTGTCAGATGTGTATTGCGAATATTTTCTCCCAATCTGTAACTTATTTTTCTTAATCTATTTGATCAAATAGAATTTTAATTTTAATGAAGACTAATTTATCAATCATTTTTCCTTTGTGATTAAATGCTCTTTATGCCCTGTTTAAGAAATCTTTACCTACTCCAAGGCCATGAAAATAGTCTTCTATGTTTTCCTCTAGAAACTATGTTTTCCTCTAGAAGTTTGATTGTTTTAACTTTGATGTTTAGGTCTGTTATCCACTTCAAATCAATAATGCTGTTTTTGGCCCCAGTTATTTTATAGCAAAAGCTAGGCATTTTACAGTTATGAAATGAAAGTCTTAATTTGAATATGTTAGATTCGATCATTTTAGCATCAGCATTTTTTTTAAAGTAACAATGACATGAAATACTCGTTCTTCCTTTTCTCTCTACATGTTCATTTGGTAGCATGTGATATACAAGGTAAAATAGAAATATACTTTTTCTACAACTTGGTCAGGATAGGTCAGGATAACTGACCTTTCAAGGAGAGTTAATACTAGACTTTGAATTTGTTGTTTTATCTACAATTGTCAGCAATTCACCTGTGCCTCACAGTCTATAATTTCCTTGTTAAACATTTAATCTGGGGAGGGGGTGGAATAATTTATTTAAAAAATAGGGTAGGGTAGGGTAGGAAGAACTAGAATAGTAAGGTGGGCTGTGTTTGATCTAGTGTACTTAGATAAGTAGTCTTGATATTTCTTAACCTTTACCTTAGTACAAGGAAGTTGGGAAATCAGTATTTGATGGTTAGGGGGATTACTCTTGCTATAAGGCATACTCTGCTTTTTTCCCCTCAATCAACAATAATACACAGTTGAGGCGTTTGAAATTAATTGCATCTAAAATCTCTTCTAGTTCTTGCCTTCTAAGATCTATAATCTATATAGGAAGGCATTTAAAAACATGATTTAAATTCTCTGAAACAGCAATGAAACTCAGGAGGTGAATCCTGCCTCTCTTACTGTGTCACTGACATTGTGCCCTTGGGCAATTACTTGACTTTTACATTTTTTGTCATTCTTTGTGTCTTGGAGCTTGTCCATAAAATGGGGGAAATAAATGCCATTGTACCTAATTATCTTCCAGAAATGTTATGAGGTAGAAAGGAATCTCTTTGCACTACTAGGCTGAGTGTTTGTTGCCACATTTTTTGAGGACCACAGGCACACAAAAACAGACTGAGAAGAAAGCTCTCGCCATGGTCAGGGAATTCAGCGGTAACGTCTGAGTAATAACTGATCCTTTATGTTCCCGGAAAGCTGAACTAGGGCCTGAAATGGGCATTTCAGGAAATTTGAGTTCAGCTACATTTAAGGAAGAATGCTCTTTAACCACTAGAGTTTTTCTGAAGTGGGAGGGAATAACTTCTGTATTATTGGAAGTGTCGAAGCAGCAGCAGCTATACCACCCAGTGAGGGAATATTAGAGGAAGGTCAAGCATCAGGTGGCAGGAGAAGGAGGGTAAGCTAGTTAGGATAACCATTTCAATCCTAACATTCTAATTTCGTTGGTTACAGGAATCATTTTCATTCTACAGAACTGTTTTTGTAACGGTAGAATTCCAGGAATGATTGTATGTGGTGGTAATAAAGAGAAATGGTAAGGGATTTTTCAGAAACGATAGCTAACACATCTCTGCCTCATTTATTGTCCCAAGTGTTAATGTTGCAATTATGAAAACATTCTTGTAGTCAGTGTCTCAATTTCCAAAGCAGTTAAAAAGTAAAAATTGACATTTTAGATAAGATAAACTATTTTTTTTAAAGGTATGAGGATAAGGGAGTCAGTTTACTATTGTGAAGATAGAAAGGAAGATCAACATTTAGAGACATTTCTGGCAGCTGTCAGGCACCAGAACTGTTGGCAGCTGGCAAACTCAGATCAAGATTCTTTCTGAGACTTGACATTTTGCTTTCCTTTAGTGCCTGCATTTCCTACTGGGAAAATAGACCATGGAGTGGAAATATGATCTCTGAAACTAAGAGGAAAATTTTGCTAGCTAGTATTTGTAATTTAATGATAATTATTTAATAGTACAGTATAGAAATGAAGGCATATTTATGACCCATTTGAGTTAAAAACATGGTTACACTTTTTTTTGCTAATGTAAATGTTTGGTTTTGTTCATAAATAATTTATATTACAGCTAAGAGGTAAAACATTCACATGTGAACTTTGATGAAATACCAATTAACCAAACTCCTGCCATTTCACAGTTTAATTTTATTTGTAATCTGCACCTTTTCATTTGGCAGCATATGAACTGCTAGACTATCTGAGAAACTCCTTGGTATCTTAACAAAAATTCTAACTGGTGATTTTTTTTTTTTCCCACATGTCCTCTTTGCCAATGAAAAGAGAATCTGAAGGGATAAAAACAAATTTGAAATTGTCATCTCTCCGAAAGCATGTGATGAAGGCTTGTTTTCCATACTGGCAGAAAACAATTTGAGATTGCTAGTATAGCTATGAATAACTATCAATAGTAGAGTGCTGTGGAAAGCTACAAAAGAAATAACCTTTAACTTTTACAGTCTGATATATTTGTCAGCTCTCACAGTAATAGAATAGTTATGTCCTTTAGAATATTTGTTATTTAAAGGGTACGATGTTAGCAGAATACACTTATGATTTAATTAAACCTTAAAACGTATCAGGGTATGGATTATTTAGTTGTGAGAAGGACAGAAGTGCAAAGATATGAAAGAGAGTTTGTTAACTAAGGTTTTCTGCTAGATTACAGCTTTGGCTTTTAAAATGAGATAAGAAAATGGTTTTATCTAATGAGACCGAAAAATCCTGATGAAAACATGATGCTAAATATATATTTGTACACATACATGTAAGTACAGTTTAAAATATTTTATCTGGATGTTTGGCATCTTGTGGTAGGGTCTTTTTGCCCTCTGAAAAGTCACATTAATTTTTCAATCAGTGAAATTTGTAAAGTGTTTTGTATGAAAGGTGCTGTCTAAATGCTTAATTTCATTGATTACTGCATTAATTAAAACCACAACTTTTTCCTGAAATTCCAATGGCGGGGTTTTGGAAGTAATGATTGAAAATGACCATTATTACACTGTTTCTGGTATAATGTTTTTTAAAGTTTTAGTTGATATTTAAGTTTTATATATGGTTTGATTTTCTTCTTTTCTCCTGATCCAGAGGGGTTTTTTTTGTTTTTTACTTTCTAGTTTCTAATTTATTTTACTTCATTTAAGAATACATATTATTTTTAATTGACAGATCATAATTATATGTATTTATGGGATACATATAATGTTTTGATATATGTATATAAGCTAATTCACATATCCATCATCTCACTTACTTATCTTTTTTTGTGGCGAGACATTTGAAATTTGCTGTCTTAGCAATTTTGAAATATATAATACATTATTATTAACTATAGTCACCCTGCTGTGCAGTAGATCTCAAAAAAACGTATTCCTCATGTCTAACTGAAACTTTGTACCTTTTGATCAACATCTCCCCATTTCCCCCACCCCCAACCCTTGACAATTGTCATTCTACTCTTTCCTTCTATGGGTTTGACTTTTTTAGCTTCCACACATATGAGACTATACAGTATTTGTCTTTTGGTGCCTGGCTTATTTCACTTAACATGATGCCTTCCAGGTTCATCCAGGTTGTCAAAAATGACAGAATTTCCTTCTTTTTAAGGCTGAATAGTGTTCCATTGTGTATAGATACCACATTTTCCTTATCCATTCATCTGCTGATGGACCCTTAGGTTGATTCCATATCTTGGCTATTATGAATAGTGCTGCACTGATCCAAAGTTTTTAATGTTTAAATAGCTTTGCAGTGGTATCCTAAGCAGCATTGAGAGAGTGTAGACTCCAGAGCAGTGCTGTGCAGTAGAACTTTGTGTGACAATGAAAATGTTCTTAATATGTACCATACAATATGGAAGCCACTAGCCACATGTTCTGCTGAGTGCTTGGAATGTGGCTGGTGTGACTGAGAAAGGAAATTTTGTATTTCAATTAATTTAAATTTAAACAAATAGCCACATGTGACTAGTGCCTGCTGTATTGGATAGTGCTATATTAGTATTGGTAATAGACCTAGAACAGTGCTCCCCAAACCTTTTCTGTAAAGGACCAGATAGTGAATGTTTTAGGCTTTGAGGATCATACAGTCCCTGTTGCAACCCTTCAACTCTGCTGTTGTACAAAATTAACCAAAAACAGTACTTAAATGAGTGTTCCAATAAAACTTTATTGATGGACACTGAAATTTTAATTTCATAAAGCTTTCAAGTATCATGAAATAATATTCCTCTGATTTGTTCTCAACCATTGAAAAATGTAAAAAACAAAGTTGCTACGAATGACATTATTTCATTCCTTTTTGTTGCGGGCACAGTGAAAGCCCTGACTTCAGCATTATAGTGTATCCATGTAACAGAAACTTTTGTACAAAACAGACAACATACCTGTTCTCGTGGAGCTTACATTCTGGTGGGGAGAGACACATAAAAATAAAATGAAAGATGGTGATAATGAAGAAAAACAAAGCAAGATAAGAGCAAAGAGTGACAATGGAAGATGACATTTTATATAGGATAATTAGGTAAAGCTTACTTGATAAGGTGACATTTAAGAAGACACCTGAATGAAGAGAAGTAAGCCGGGTGGCTTCTGGGGGAGGAGCATTACAGTCAGAGGGAATAGCTGGGGGCAGGAGCACTCTTTACCTGTTCAAGTATTGGGAGAGATGGAGAAAATTGATGAGGTTAATATTTCAACAAAATTAACCCACTCTAAGATTCTTCCATCATTTTCACCTCATATGTATAAACATCAATACAGGAAACTATGTATTTTCCTTCCTTCTTTCCTTCCCTTCCCTCCCTCCCTCCCTCCCTCCCTCCCTTCCTTCCTCCCTCCCTTCCTTCCTTTCTTCCCTCCTCCCTCCCTTCCTTCCTTTCTTCCTTCTTTTTGACAAGGTCTTGCTCTGTCTCCTGGGCTAGAGTGCAGTAGCATCATCATAGCTCATTGGAAACTCAAAATCTTGGGCTCAAGTGATCTTCCTGCTTCAGCCTCCTGAATAGCTGAGACTACAGGCATATGCCACCATGCCTGGCTGATATTTTTTCTTATTTTTGTAGAGATGGGGTCTCACTATGTTGCTCAGGCTGGTCTGGAACTCCTGGCCTCAAGCGATCCTCCTGCCTCAGCCTCCCAAAGTGCTAGCATTATAGGCGTGAACTACTGTGCTGGTCCTGTGAAACTATATTTTTATCAAAGGCAATATAGGGACCCTTTCTACTTAGCTTTCTAGATCATTCTTTTGGAAAATATTTTAAAGCTGTGTTGACTGCCTACACATTAAAAAGACCCCATCAAACTTTTTGTGGGTTTTTGTGGGGGGGGGTAGGAAGTGTAAAGAAATTATAAAATGATTAATTAAAAACTAAAAAGTTCTTGCTGCATTTAGAAATATTGAACAAGCTGGGAATTCCTTCACCATCAATCCACTATTATCTTTGAATGGGCTTCATGTTCTTGTAAAGATCTTTAAGTTTAGGGAGAAAATGTATTTCCATCTTTTTTGGCCTTGTGTTTTAAGTATTTCTTAGTACTTAAGAACAACAGTCATGTGGCCTGACTATAGATGGTTTTAATGACTCTTTTAAGTTATGAACACTAAGGTAGTCAGAATTGCTGTCTTCATTTAGAAGCTATACTAAGTTACTTCTGGTGTTATTTACGATACACTGAGGGTTCTTGAAAAAATATTGAGAGCTATTTAAATGTCACTGTCAGAGGGTTTAAAAGGTTCAGGGGACCAGGACTTTTTGCCTTTAGTTCACCAAATCAAAAGCCACCTTGCTGTGTAGTCACTAAAAGATATTCCCACATAAAGGTTGCTCATGTGAAACCTTTGAGCTAGTTTTCTTTATTTTTTTCCTGTTAAGAATCCTTTCAGTGTGCAGTTGAAAGTTTCAGTTAGCAGTTTTTTTCGACTTAAAAAAAACCAGCACTATCAAACTTACAGAAAAGTTGCAATACAATCAAAAAACTATTTTTTTCACAGAATTTGAGAGTAAGTTGCTGACATAATGCCCTGTAACCCTCAAATACTTTAGTGTGTATGTTCTACCTTCTCCTAGGTAACCACAGTATGACCATCAAAACCATGAAATTGACATTGATGAATTACTGCTGTTTAATCCTCAGCCCCCATCCAGGTTTCTCCCTCATGTTGTTTACTGCAGGAGATTTCAGTCCAGAATCACGTATTGCATTTAGTTGCCATGTCTCTTCACTCGCCTTCGGTCTGGAACAGTTCCTCAGTCTTTCATGACATGGACACTTTTGAGGATTACAAACCAGTTGCTTTGTGAACCATCCCTCAGTTAGAGTCTGTTTGTTTCCTCATTGATTCATGTTATGCTTATTTGGCAGGAGTATCACAAAAGTGTTGCTGTGTTCTTGTCACTATCAGGCAGCACATAATTTTCATTTGTCTCGTTACTGATGTGATCACATGTAACTTTGCTCAGTTACAGTGGTGGCAAACAGGCTTCTCCACTATACAGGTACTCTTTTTTTAAAAATTTATTTTAG